CAGCCAGTCACCTCTCAGCTGGGTTTTGTAAAGCCTCACATCCCCTGTGCCTCCCACAAAGCCAAGCATTCAGTAGTTGCTCAGTGAGCTGGTTGGAATGAGGAAATGGGGTAGAATCAATCATGCTTACTAACTGTTTTGTGGGGATGGCGTGAGGCGGGGGCAGATGTTGGAAGACTGAGTTTATGATCCTGTGGGTACGGGAGTGGATGGGGCAGAGTGGGAGAAGCGGTCTAGCTGGTGACGTGTTAACTGGAGAGTTAAGGAAGATGCAGGTAGGAAGGGCCACAGGCAACCAGAAACACGAGGGTGGGGTCTGGGGAGGGTCTGACTCATCAGGGTAGGATCAGCAGGCAGACATCTGAAAATGAATGAACTTGTCCTGTAATAAAAGGCAAGAGAGCAAAGGTTCAAGGACAGATCCCTGGAGAATGCCAGCTCTTAAAGGGACTGGCGCCAGAAGAGACTGTCACTGAGAGAGGGAAACAGGGAGAGTCCTGACTCAAGCCACAGGCATTGGCCGACAGTATCAAAACCTTCAGAGTAGGAGGCAGAGAAAATAGAACTTCCTCAGGTTTGGCACGAGGCTGCTGATGGCTTCAGGAGGAGGAGGAGCCATTTCTGCATGAAAATTCAGGTGGGAGCCGGGGTGGGGTCGGAGAGGATAGGGCACAGATACAGAAGTGTGACCAGCGGAGGTGGACATGCAGGGATGGCCGGAAGAGGAGGTGGAAGCAGAGAGGGCTTTGTTTTTTTGGGGGGGTGGTGGAGATCGAAGTCTGTTTAGTAGGAGTGAAGAGGAGAGAGGGCAGAAGCAGGGCAAAGGGGGATCCCTGATGGAAAGGTCCTGGCGAGGGGAGCAGGGATCGATGTCTGGTGGAAGCACTGGAGGGAACAGGAGGGGTGGTTGAGTCTAGATGGGGCAAGCAGGCAGCTCCAGTGTTTTCCCTGCAGAAACAAAGGGACAGTGACATTGATTACGTGACTTGCTCAAGGTCTCTGAACCAATAAGAACCGAGCCTCTGCTTCTCCCCGCCTTGGTCTTCCCAGACCCCTGCTCGGGGACAGTTGACCGTATCCCTTCGCTGGGCCCCAGGGCTCCAAGGGACCTGGCATCACGCTGTGCCCTTGGGCGGGTGCGCATTCCGTTCCTCCTGCTTCACGTAGCAGGTGGGTGCCTGCTGTGTGTGAGGCGGAGAGTGTCCGCCCAGCCCGAGGCACAGTGGCCCCTTCCGGGGCCTTCATGCTTCACCCTGTGCCCCGGGCTCTGCCCTCCAGCGAGGTCCGGGGCCGTGCTCGCGGCCTCAGGTCAGCGAGGGACTGCTGCGCTATTTGGCAGAGCACCTGAGAGCACGCGGGCTTCCTGCCCCAGGGTCAGCTTTGCCTAGTGTGTCGGGGGAGCTGGTCACCCTGGCGGCTGGTGGCAGGCAGGAGCTGCTGCATGTCGGACATGAGTGGAGCAGAGTCCTGCTCTCTGGCCCAGGTACTGTCCTGTGACTTTCCCCGTGTCCTTTCGTACCCAGGGGTCTGGTCAATAACGCGGGGCGGCCCACGGCCGGGAGAAGGCTGTGGGTCCACCTGGGGTAGCCGCCACCGGACAAGCTCGGGCGCCAGGAATGTCTGCGGCTGCCGGGCTCTGGTCGGGACTTGGCCCAGGGAGGGGAGGGCTGGGCTGATGACACCCCAGACTGGGGTGGGGGGGTCTTGGGGCAAACTTTAAGCCTCAGCTGTCTGCTTCTCACACACCAACACCGTTTGGGAACCAAGACGTCCATCGCCAGGCAGGCTTTCTGGGGAGGAGGTCAAAGGGGGCTAGTTGCCGTGTTGCTTGGGATCCGACTAGTCCGCTGTGCTCACCTCCCGCTGCCAAAGGTCTCCACCACCCCAGTGGGGCCTGGAGGGCGGTGGAGTCTGTATCTTTCAGTTACTGTGGAGCTCGCTCGAAGTGCTGGTGTCCGTGCTGGCTTCCCTGTAAGAGAGGTGTGGGGGGGTTGGGTTTTGTTTTGTTTTTCACTTAGGAGTGCCTGGACACTGCCTTTAACCCATTAAATCAGAATCTTGGAGACTGGGGCCGAGGCCTCTCTGTATTTTTAAACTCCTCAGGTCCTGGCCTTAGGCCAGTCAGGCCAGCAGTGTTATGACCTACTGATACAAAGGGAGCTGCCAGGAAATGGAGTGAGTCCTGGTCACGAAGACGGAGAGAGAGTGGAAGGGAGGAGAGGGTGAGGTTCGTGAAGTCGGGAGGTGTTAGGGCTGGGAGGGTCCTGGTGTGGAGCTCTGCAGCACGGAGCGTGGTCCCCGCGGAGCGGCCGGGCACCACCTGGGAGCTGGTTAGAATTCGTGTCCAGCCTCGCCCACTGAGTCAGAAGGCACACCTCAAAGTCCGAGCGGCCTGCTTTGGCTGTCATGCGGACATCCTCACCGCCCTTGTCCTCCTCTGCGGTTCTAAACTCTCACGGCTTGTTAGAATCCCCGGAGGCGCTCGAGCAGATTCCGCTGCTGGGCCAGACGCATCAAGTCCCAATTCCAAGGTGTGGGATCCAGACGCTCTTAATTCTTTTTTTTTTTTTTTTAATTTATTTATTTGACAGACAGAGGTCACAAGTAGGCAGAGAGGCAGGCAGAGAGAGAGGAGGAAGCAGGCTCCCTGCTGAGCAGAGAGCCCGATGTGGGACTCGATCCCAGGACCCTGGGATCATGACCTGAGCCGAAAGCAGAGGTTTTAACCCACTGAGCCACCCAGGTGCCCCTATTTCTTATTTTTAAAAAATGTTAGCACCCTAGGCGATTCTCCTGTTCAGTCAAGGTCAAAAACATCCACCTGAACCAGTGTTTCTCAGGCTTGAATGTGCCTGTGACTCCTCAGGTGATCTTATTCAAGTGCAAATCCTCATGTTGTCAGTGTGGAGGGGCAGGAGAGCATGCATTTTTTTTTTTTTTTTAAGATTTATTTATCCATTTGAGAGAGAGAGAGAGCACGAGCAGGGGGGAAGGGGAGAGGGAGACTCGCCAGCATACTCCCCACTGAGTGTGGGCTCGATCTCATGACCCTGAGATCATGACCTGAGCAAAAATCCAAGAGTCAGATGCTTAACTGACTGAACCACCCCGGTGCCCTGAGATTATAAATTTCTAATAAGGTCCCTAGTGATGCCCGTGGTGCTGATGTGATAAATATATTTTGAGCTGCAAAATATATATATTTTTTGTGTACTCAGAGTGGAGCGTGGGGGCAGAACATCGTCTCCATAATACAAATATATAAATAGTTCTACACAATATTTATATATTTAAAATATGTTTTAGGCTAACTTCCCAGTTTCACAGCCAAAGAAACTGAGGGTCAGAGAGGGACAATGACCCCCCCACCACCACCACCGCCAAGGTAACCCAATGTGCCATTCATCAGTAGTACTTCCTGAGCACTGGCTATGTGCTGGGCCGTGTGCTAGATGCTGGGAATCAGATTGCATTGGTACCCTCAAGTAGCTCATACTCCAGTGGGGAAGACAGAGAGCAAGCAAGGAAGTAACTAGGCTCAGTATAGATCAGGAGAAGTGCTCTGGACTGTGCCGGGGTGAGGAATGACTTGGCAGCGGCTGTAGGAAGAAGGCATGCCACTTTCGGAGGAGGGGTCAGAGAAGCTTCTAGAACCGTGACTTTCACTGATGTCTCCTAACTACAAATCCAGAACTTCACTAGATAGGGTCATCCTCCATCCCTACTGGGGTTTGGGGATGGGTGCTCCTGACTCTCCTGAGGATGCCTGGCTCTGGTTCCACACCCCTCCCCCCACCTGCCAAGACTCTCATTCTTTGGTGTTTGTGGACTCAGAGCGGAGCGTGGGGGCAGAGCATCGACTCCATAATAGGACAGTTCAGGATAATTGATTTATGATTAGTAACAAAAACCAGCTCTCATCCTGATGCTGTCTCCTGCCCTGAGGAAATAATTGGAGGTTTTCCAGGTCTCCCTGAGAGCTGGAGCTTCCGTCCCTGTCCCCGGTCGATCCCAAGGATCACCTGAGCTGCTTGTGAAAATGCCTGTCCCAGGTCCCGCCCTCTCTGATTTAGCAGACCCGGGGAGGAGCCCTGGAATCTGTGTTTGCAGGAAGCGGCCCAGGGTAACTTCTGATTCAGGTGACGGGGGTGGGGAACACTGAGTGGATGACAGAAATGGCACCTGCTGTCCCGCACCTCTTGGTGTTCTGTGCAGGCTGTCTAAATTGTTTCCCCTGTGACTCTGCAGCGTGGCCCTGGCTGAGTTTGGGTGTAGGGACCTCTTTGCTTATGTGTGTTTAGCAGCTGACCCCCTTCCAGAGCCCTGTCCTTGCCATGCCAAAGGGTCTCCCATCTTCTCTGACCAATGCCTGCCCTCCCCCGCACTCCCATTCAGACAATTGCCTCCATGGAACTCCCTCCACCCCCCAGCGCTGGGAGGATGAGGGCTTGGACCCTGTTTGCATTTAGTTAGAATCTAGAAGGACTGGGGGGCCATCCACAGCCCCAGCGCCAGGCCAGAGTGGATCTGTTTGGCTGGAGTGGTGGGAGACCGAGGACAGAGAGGTGGGTGGTAGCAGAGACAAGGGACTGCTTTGGATGGCGGAGAATGATAAATGTCCACTGCCTAAATTACAAATCATAGCCCCATACAGTTCACTTCCATGGCAAATGTGGGTAGAACTTCCCATCTTCCTCCTGGAGCTGGCCCTTCCCAGGTCAAACTGAGGAAGGGGACCAAGAAACCACGCCAGGGAAGCTCGAACAGGCCTGTCTGGCGTGGGACCTCATCTTTGAGGAGTGCGATCTGGGTTCCCTTTCCCCACCTGTACCCCAGATGCTGCTTTCAAGGGATTAGAGGATGTCTGCTCTCTGGGTGGCCACCCTGGAAGCAGCTCTGTGCCTTCTGGAGAAGGAAAGGCAGGCTGCGGTTGTGTCCTCCAGGCTCTAGGTAGAAGGTTTCCAGAGCTGACCATACACCTGTGACTCCTAACCTCCTAGGTGGCCCGAGGCAGCCGGGATGACAGCTCTCCCCAGGAACCCTGCTACCCGCTGAGAAACATGATCAGCAAGTCCCGTGAGTGTTGTCCCAGGGCTCCCCGACCCTGAAGGATGGGCCCCCCAGAAGCAGTCTTCAGCATCTGTGACCCACTGGGGGCTGTGGAGGGACAGGCAGATGGCCAGGGGGCCCTCTGTTCATCTTGAAGGACCATAGAAACACAGGCTCAAGCCCGGTGCTGGAAAACCACGGCCAGGCGAGGGCTGGGGACCGGGTCTGCTTGAGTTGGAGGTGGCAGGGGCCCAAAACAGGGTCGGTGGCCTGGGGCCGTCTCTGCCTGTCCCTGCCTCTAGCCCCTCTGTGCATGTGCCCTGCAGGCTGGAAGCTCCTGGCCATGCTGGCTCTGGTCCTGGTCGTCATGGTGTGGTATTCTATCTCCCGGGAAGACAGGTACTTGGAGCTTGGGTCCAGCTTCCCGGTCCTCCCGTTGGTTCTTCTCAGCAATGGGCTCAGGGATGGAGTGTCAGGGGTGGCCGACCTAGTGGGGCTGGGAGGGTTCAAAGGGCGAGGGTATGGCCCCTTCCTTCAGCTTTTAGCGCGATATCCTTCCAGGAAGGTTAGATAGTGGGTTCGGGGTGCAAGGTTTGTGACTCCTCCCCAGAGCTGCTCAGAGAAAGGAGAGCTGGATCTGCCATGAGTTGGTCTGAGTGAACTTGGGTTGAGAGGATTCTACCCTGTGCGTCACTCGCTGGGACCTGGGGACCTATGTCATGGGAGAAAGTGGAGGCTGCCTGGGACGCTGGCCCCTGGGCCCGAGAGGTCTGACTGGAGCTCCTGCCTCCTCCCTTTTCTGTCTCTAGTTTTTATTTTCCCATCCCAGAGAAGAAGGAGCCGTGCTTCCAGGGAGAAGTGGAGAGGAAGGCCTCTAAGCTGTTCGGCAAGTAAGTACTTAAGGCTGAGGTGGGGCGGGTATAGGGCGAGGTGGGCGGGGAGTTTCAGAGGGTGGGGGCCTCAGTGCTGGTGTAGATGGAGGGGAACGCGTTAGTGGACATGGGTTAGGTGACCCGTGAGGGGAGGAGAGGCCCTTGAACATACAGATATATAAGCAATATAGTAAGACAGAATAATTATGTTATTATATACAATATTATATAATATATAAATATAATTTTTAAAAGATTTTTATTTATTTGACAGACAGCCAGAGAGGGAACACAAGCAGGGGTAGTGGGAGAGGGAGAAGCAGGTCCAGGGGGGCTCCATCCCAGGACCCCAGGATCATGACCTGAGCCAAAAGCAGGTGCTTAACGACTAAGCCACCCAGGTGCCCCATTAATATAATTTATACATTGAGTTGGAGGTTTCAGGGGCCCCAAATATTATATATTATACATTACTTTTATATATTATAAATAATATGTTTATTATATATAATGTTATTATATATTATAATTTTATATATTACATAATATAAAAACATATACCATGAATATATATTACTGTATATTAAAATATTTAATATATTTAAGTATAAAAATATATAGTTTATATAACATATTACATTATATGATAAAATATCATATAATTATATCACTAAAATATATAATTATATATAATATTATATTAATACATGATATATAATAATTATTATATACAATATTACATACTACTATATATGACATATAGAATATTAGTCAGGGGCCTGACCTGACCCTGGCTTCTGGCTTCTTTAAGATTAATCCCTTTCTCATCCCGGCCCTGCATTCACCTCCGCAGCTACTCCCGAGATCAGCCCATCTTCCTGCAGCTGAAGGATTATTTCTGGGTCAAGACACCGTCTGCCTATGAGCTGCCCTACGGGACCAAGGGGAGTGGTAAGAGCGGCTGGGTGAATGGACTTGGTGGGCTCACCTCGGCCACGCTGCTTCTCGCTCTCTGCTGCTCATGGTCCCGGTGCCCACGCTCTGAGCCAGGCTCCGATGCTGAGGTCAGAGGAGGAGGGGGCAGCAGAGGCTCTGAGGAGCAGTGATGGGAGAGCTGGCAGCCTTCGGGAAGCTGGCTGTTGTCATTGGCCCCTCCCAATCTGCATCTTTTTGTAGAAGACCTGCTCCTCCGGGTTCTAGCCATCACCAGCTACTCCATCCCAGAGAGCATCCAGAGGTAAGGAGACAGTCCTTGCCCCGAGTCTGGGCACCTTCTCCTTTCCGCCTCCCAGAGATAGTCATGGGCCAGCACCTCCCAGCGAGACTTCCTATCTCTGCTCCCCTGGGGCCAATTTGACCCTTCTTTCCAGCCTGCCCGTCTCCAGGGGAGGCAGGGACGCCAGTGTCCACGGCAACTGGACCTGGGCATCCAGGCGCTGGAGCAGGCAGGGTATTGCCCTAATGACACGCGGACCTGGGCAGCAGGCGAGGGGGCTTTGAAATGGGATTTCTTATTAGTCCCCACTAGGAGCCTTCCCTCCTCTCCTCCTCCGCCTTCTGTTCTCTGCTCAGTTCCTCTGCCGTGAAAGCCCAGGGCTGGGAAGTCAGCAGGACCCTAAGTGGGGCTCCTTGGAGATGCCGGGTCCGTGGGGATCAGAGGCCGAGGCATCCTGGGAAGGAATCCCGAGCCAGGCCCCAGGCAGACCCAGATCAGGAGTTAAGCAGCACGGGCACAGGGGTCTCCCTGGGGGCTGATCACCGTCTCCCACGGCAGTCTCAAGTGTCGCCGCTGCGTGGTGGTGGGGAACGGGCACCGGCTTCGCAACAGCTCGCTGGGGGACGCCATCAACAAGTACGACGTGGTCATCAGGTCTGTAGCTTGGGCGCTTGTCCCTTCTGTTTGGGAGGGACTGTCGACAGGCCCATGGGCCTCCGGCTGACGGGCCTCCTCCTCCCGGCCTTTCAGATTGAACAATGCCCCAGTGGCTGGCTACGAGGGCGACGTGGGCTCCAAGACCACCATGCGTCTCTTCTACCCGGAGTCCGCCCACTTCAACCCCAAAGTGGAGAACAATCCAGACACGCTCCTCGTCCTGGTAGCTTTCAAGGCAATGGACTTCCACTGGATTGAGACCATCCTGAGTGACAAGAAGAGGGTGAGCGGGGACTCGGGGGATGGGAGAGGGTGGGGCTCCGAGACGGGACCCTGCCTGTCTGAGGACCTCACGCTCTACAATGTCTGCCCTGTGAAAGCCCAGGAGGGGAAGGTGTGAACTCCATGTTCTGTGGGGCTTCTGAGAAGCCACCACAGCAGCCAGGGTCTGACAGCCTGCAGGCATGAGGTGGGCACTCCAAGCTTGAGGCTGCCCAGGCCAGGGAAGCTGCCAGAAAATGTGTGTGCCAGTGAGAAACCTGGGAGGAAAGCAGCTGGTCAGTAGTCCTCTCCAGGCAGGGGTAGGCTAGAACAGAAGGTCTGTCCTTCTGGGTGGTGTCCCCTGTGTCTTTTTCTCATCTAGTCAGATGCTGACACTGGTCCCATCGAGCATTTTCACCAAGGGTTTACGCAGCCCCATGCTTAAGCCCCTTCCACCTGTTTGGTGGAAGTGGGCAGTAGTTGGACCCGATACCCTACACAGCTTGTCACTGCGGCCACCCCCCTGCTCAACCAGTAGGGTCCTCCCACCTCTCCCCACTCCTCTCTGGTCACCCTTTCCCTCTTGGGTGCGGGCCTGGCCTCCACGTCCCTCCCGTCTCACCCTGCACTCCTGGGGGCCTCTGCCCGCTGAGCACTGCCCAGCTGGACTTGAGAAACAGGCGTGTGCGCACCCCCATCTCTCCCTTCCAATCGTATGCCCCGCAGGTGCGAAAGGGCTTCTGGAAGCAGCCTCCCCTCATCTGGGACGTCAACCCCAGGCAGGTTCGGATTCTCAACCCTTTCTTCATGGAGATTGCAGCGGACAAGCTGCTGAGCCTGCCCATGCAGCAGCCGCACAAGATTAAGCAGGTGCGTGCGGGTGACGGTGGGTGGTGGGCTGGGAATCTGGAGGCTGGGACAGGATGTTTCTAGAGGCTTCGGAAGCCCTGGAGGACCCCAAGAGGGGGGAAAGTAACAACAGAGACCCGAGGTTGCATTTGAACAGCTCCCAGACCCCTGTATTCAGTCCAGTGTATTTGGCTGTGGGCGGGGAGAGTTGGGGGAGGATGTCTGCTGAGCAGAAAGTTAGGGGAGCGTTTTTATAAACTAGGGAGTTGCTGGAACAGTCTGTGGCCTTGACTTTAGAATGTCTGCAGTTGGCTGTGAGGTCACTTTATCTGTGATCTTATCTTGGAATGGATTCGTCAGAGTGAATTAAAGGAGCTCGAGCTTCGTTTGTCTTGCGTGCCCTGCTTCCGTGCCATGTATCAGGTTGGGGAGTCACAGTACAGTTCTGTAAGCTGTGGTTTGCGTTTTAGCCCTACCTTCCCAAGGACTTCCACACGTGCCGTCTGAACCCCTAGAGAGGCCGTGTGGGATAGTAGTTGTCAGAGATAGCTAGTAAACATCGCCAGGACTTGGCTGTCCTGCTTCTTACTCTGTGGCCTTGAGCAGATTGGCCACTGGGAGCCTTATCTGTGTGGTGAGGACGGTGTTCAGTGTTCGTACTGACCTTTTAAGGCCCTTGTAGAATTTAAAAACACAATTATATAACATGCCTATCACGGAGATTGGTACACAGGGGATGCTCACTGTATTTGCCAAATTTCGCAGCAGAAAATTTTATTCTTCACTGAATATCTACTCTGATTCAGCTTAGGTTGAATGCCTTCTTTTGTGGCTGCTCAGTCCCTGGCCTCATGTTTGCACATTTGGGGTGTAGGATATGCACCTTGCCCTGAGGACACTCAGTCTAGCAGAATAAACATACAGGTTGTAACAGGGAGTGGCAGCATGCCCTAGTAGGGAGTTGTTCCCAATGCTGGAGGAGCTGAGAGGAGGGGCAGACCTCTGCTGGGAGTCCCCCCAGCCCCCAACCAGAGGAGGTGGTCTTGGAGTTGGGCCTTTGAGGGGTTATGGGGCCCATCCGGCAGGGACTTGGAGAAAGGGTACTTCCTTTGGCAAGACCAACCAGCTCCTCCAGCACTGAGTTCTAGCACAACTGAAGTGGAGGGGAACAGCAAGGAGGCGTTTTATGCCCCTGATCGGGTGTGCGGCAGAGGACGAAGGCTGGAGCGGGGAGATAAGAGAAGAACCAGGACCCACCTTCTGGCTGTGGGAGGGGGAAATGGAAGGCATGCCCTGGATATAGCAGCTTCCCATTGCTGCTTAAAAAACCACCAGAGTTGAGTGGCTTTAGGTATTGCCTACTGATAGACTCATAGTTCTGGCCATCGGTGGTCCAGCGGGGCACAGCTGAGTTCTTATCTGGAGGCTGGAGTGGGGTGGGGGGAACACACTTCCAGGGTCCTTCTTGTCAGAGGTATTTAGTTCCTTACGGTTCCAGGACTGAGGTCCCGTTTCCTTTGCTGGCTTTCAGCCTTGATACCCTCAGCTCTTAGAGATTGTGTGTGTTTCTTTCGAGAGAGCCCCCTCCACCTTCCAGCCGGCAACAGCACGATAAATCCTTCTTGTGCATCCCACCCCTGACTTCCTCCACTGCCGACCTCTAGACTCAGATGCTAAAGCTCATTTCATGAGGTCAAGCCCACCAGGATGCTCTCTCTATCTTAGGGCCAATGGCACCTGTAGGGCAATTGAATGTCATGTCCTACGTCTCAGATTGGTAGGTTCCACGTGCACCCAAGGATCACTGGGGGCTATTTTAGTGACCTCCTGCAACACCATTTATTTTGCAGGTGAAGTTGAGAGAGTTCTCGTAATTCTAGGTTTCCAGCTTAGACAGCTAGCTGGGTGGTAACATGCTTAACTAATATAGGGAATTCAGGGGGAGAGGAGTCTGGCGGGTTCCAGGAGCCGGTGATGAGGCAGAGCGGTCTAGCAGGCCCTGGAAATGTGGTTCAACAAACATGTGAACTGGGTAAGAACGTAGTGGTAGTCAGAACAGCAGGAGGGGAAAACCCCAGCAGGAAGAGACAGATGAAATGACGGCAATGCTCAGAAGGGACACTGGGGCAAACCTGGGCTGACAAGGTCCAGGGAGCAGTTCATAAATGGGAGTGGGCGGCAGAAGTGGTCAGGAAGGCAGGGTGTTGGAGCTGAGGAAGGCAAGATTTGGGATGCCTGGGTGACTCAGTCGGTTAAGCGATTGTCTTCAGCTCAGGTCATGATCCCAGGGACCTGGGATCAAGTCCCACATCGGGTTCCTTGCTCCACAGGGAGCCTGCTTCTCCATCTGCCTCTGCCTGCCTCTCTGCCTACCTGTACTCTCTCTATCTCTCTGACAAATAAATAAAATCTTAAAAAAAAAAAAAAAAGGGTTGAGGTTAGGGTATCACGTTGCCCATCCCCGTGGACAAATTAGGGATGGAGAAAGTAGGTCTCCCCCTCCCCGCAGAGCAGCCCATAAGGTGGGTGGGAACAGTGCTGCTGTCCCCACTTCACGGAAGGGGAGAGCCCATCCTCATCAAGGGCCACACAGCCCGTGAGTGGGGGCCCCCCAGGTTTTCTGAAAGAGGTGAGGTTTTCCAAGGCAGAGAGCAGAACCTTTCCACTCCTTGAATGAAGTTGTCAGCCTCAGTTTCCCCATCTGTAAAATGTGTCCACCTCCAAGTGCTTTTGTGAAGACGGGACACACTCGTGTTCTGCAGGGTAAAACGCTCAACGCGGAATCACTGCCTCGAGGCCCAAGCCCTCCCTGAGGTGTGTTGAGCCGGCCTTCCAGCCTGGTGTCCCTGAGTTACCTGTGGCTACTTACATTTAAATTTAAGTTAATTAAATTAAGTATACAATTAAATAAAGTGAAAGAGTCGGTTCACATGCATCTGCACCAGCCCCGCGCCCCTGCCCAGAAGCTGCACATGGCTGGTGACTGCAGTGTAGACGGCATAGAGGAAGAACATTTCCGTGAAAGTCTATTGCGAAGTGCTAGCCTAGAAGGCGGGGAAGGATGCAGGTCTCCCTCTAATACCTCCCCCCCACAACCCTTTCAGAAGCCCACCACCGGCTTGCTGGCCATCACGCTGGCACTCCACCTCTGCGACCTGGTGCATATCGCCGGCTTTGGCTACCCAGATGCCCACAACAGGAAGCAGACCATTCACTACTATGAACAGATCACACTCAAGTCCATGGTGGTGAGCGGCCCCTGCTTCTGAGCTGGCTGGGACAGAGCTGGGGACCCTGGGGAGGGGGATGGTGAGAGTGGTGCTAAGGGCTCAGATGCTGCTCGAGGGTCAGAACTGGAACTCAGACCCCTGGTCTCCTGGCCTAAGTCTTCGGTATCTGGCCATACGGGTCGTGTTGTCCTTCTGGGAGCCAACCCGGGGCAGGGAGCTCCTAGAAGTGCGGGGGCTGTGGGGGGCATCAGAGAGTGCTGGGCCGGGGAGGTCCCTGGGAGTTCCTTAGTCTGCTTCCTTGGCTGTCTCCACAGGGGTCAGGCCACAATGTCTCCCAGGAGGCCCTGGCCATCAAGCGGATGCTGGAGATCGGAGCAGTCAAGAACCTCACGTTCTTCTGACTGGGGCGGAAGCTGTATCCACCCGTCTGCCCGCTCTGCCGCCTGAACGACCCCATCCGTGGCTGTGGGGGTGCCTGGTGACCTGCTTGGACTCCCCCTCCCCTGTGTGGAGAGGGGTCCTGGTACTGGCCGGGCCTGAGACAGGGCCGTGCCCCTGGCTGCTCTCAAGGCAGCTGGATCTGGTCAGGATGGAGGCCCCGGGGTGGCTGGAGGCCATCCGAGGCACGGGCTTTGTGCCATGGTGCCCCATCTCCACCAGTGCCGGGGGCTTATTTAATGGGCTATTTAATTAAAGGGTAGGAATGTGCTACGGGCTGGTCCCATGGCGTCGAAAAAGGGGCAAAATACAGTGTTCTGCCCACTTTTGATAAAAACACAAAAGTGCAGGGCCTACTAAAGCCTAGCCCCAGAGTAGGCCTCCCAGGAGGGCAGGGACGTCTGGAGCGGGTGGGTGCCCTTCGGAGAGGGGCTGCTATCTCCCAGCAGGCATGGGAAAAGCACTGGGATGGGGGTCCCACAGAGAATGGGCCCTCATCTAGAAAAGAGGTTTGAAACCTAACATTAAACTATTTTTCCTAAAATGGGAGCAGTTGTGACACCCTGTGTCCTTCAGGTTGGGGAGGACATGGATGGGGGCAAGTGGGTCATGGCAGGGGGCACCCTCTCCTAGCACTAGACAGGCTTGTTAAAGACCAGCAGTGTCTCTGGGACCCTGTGGGACCAGAGGAGGCCACGGTCATTCAAGAAACAATTACTGGGTACAGTGCTTGGTGCCAAGTCATTCATTGTCACCCTGGTGAAGCAGGCAAGCAGGTGACACCCAGAGTGGGCTGTCTGCTGGACACCCAGCCTGGCATTCTTCATCCTGGTTTACATCCTAAAGGTAGGGAGAGGCAGGAGGATGCCAGATGGGAGTGGCGGAAACCCATCCTCCTCTCTCTGCTCCCTCTCTCTCCCCCTCCAGGCCTTCCTTTCTGAAACCTCATGCTGGGAGGTGTGTGTTTGAGGACAGGGGTGGAGTAAGACAAAGGAAGCCAAGTTTCCTTTCTCAGATTAAGTGGGAATCATAAAATGGAGTTTACAGAAGGTCCTGCCCAGTGGCCCAGGCTGTCAGGATTGGGATGGGCAGGGTTTGGGCCATGTCTGAGGGATTTGGCAAGGCCTGTCCCGCCGGTTGCCGGGCCAGGGGACAAATGCTGTTTTCCTTGGGTTTCTAGAATTAGGAGAGCCCTGCCATTTGCCTGTATCTCCCTGCTTTGTTCTCCATCTTCCCAGGCCCTGCTTAGCTGCCAACTGGGCATCTTTCCACCCCCACAGCTGTTCCTTTACATCTGGAGCCAGGAGGGAGAGCTGGAACTCCCCTACAGGGAATGGGACTCACAGCTGTGTTCCTGGCTTTCTCGGAAAGAGTTGCAGCCTTGAGGTTTTGAGACAGCGAGACTGGGACAGGACAGATAAAGAGGGGCAGAGATCTGGGAGAAGCAGGGGAAGATGACCCACTTCTGGGCCGAACGTTGGAGGAGCCTTGCGAACACCTATCCTCAGGCCCCAGAACAGTCCTGAGGACCATCCCTGGGCATAGAATTGCCTCTATTGCTAACCGCTAACCGTGCTCTCCCTAGGGGAGAGGGGGAGTCCGAAAGCAAATAACGGCCCCAGCCTCTGCAGCCCCTAGTCCTCTCCACTCTACAGGGGCAAGCTTTGTCTCCCAGGCTTTGACCTGGGTGTTGTGGGGCGGGGGGGAGTGGGGGACAACCTGTTGACTCCAGCAGGGGTGTGAACATGTGCAGGGATCTAAGCTCTGCCTATCCCTGATGCCTGCCCAGCAGCTTCTTGTGAGGGTATGCAAGGGAGTGTCCATTTCCCCATCCAGGGCCATTGAAAGTGGCTGTCAGCACATATGATCCAGCTGTCCTGGACTGGGGCCACTGCCTATTACTGAACACTCCTAAACTTGAGCCAGAATCGAGCACACAGGGATGGGTCAGACCCCCCACCCCTGCCCCCCCAAACTCCACACACATGCATATAGACGAGGGAGCGTTTTACATTCTTGTTGGGTTACGCTTCTGATGCCATATGCAGCGAATTTCACGATTGATAAGAGTGTCTGTGGGGAGGGGACAGACACATCTAGACTGGCCATTGTTCCTTTGGGTGGGCTCAGCTCTCTCCAGTGTGCCCCAGCCCCAAGGCACATTGCAGGGTGCCTTAGTACTGGTCCAATGTCAGAGTCAGAACGGGGAGTAGAGCTTTGATTTGTTGGAGCGGCTGGATGGGGTTTTTCGGTGTTCTGAGAAAGGGACTGTCGTTCTTCCGTTAGCTCAACCAGTGAGAATGAACTGCCTCCCTGTCTGCCTGGTACTGATTAAACAAACGTGCCCTGAAAATGAGTCAGGAGGGGAAGTAGGGAACACGATGCGAAAGCATGTGAGTGCAAGTCTACGCATCCGGGTTCGATACAGGGCTCTGGCATGTCATTCTGTACGACCGTGGGTCAGTCATTTCTCTGTGTCTATGCTCCGATTCCTACATTGATTGAGCCAGGAGGGTGGTCGAGCCAGGAGGGTTGTCCAGCCATTGAGGGCCACTTAGACCAGAACCATCTGGGGGTGATTTAAGAATGCATACCTGGGTCTTATCCAGGCCGCGGGGGAGGCGGCCCAGGAATCTGGAAATTTAACAAGCATCCAGCATCACTGCTCCAGCAGTCTAGACTCCAGGATGAGCTCACTGGCCTCTCTCAACTCCAGGGTCTGGTCTGCGCGCACAGCCCAACCTAATCCCTGGCGTCCTTGAACGGTGTTAATTAGGCGCACGCGCGCTTCCCTCCCGCTGGCCTACAGGCAGCAGAGCCCCTACGGTGCTGGGCTTGCCCCGCCCCCAGCGGCTGAGGCGGAGGCCCGGGTGCGCATGCGTTGCGGGAGGGGGTTGTAGGGCGGCGTGCGGTGGCGACGCGAGGGCGGCTGCGCTGGCTAGGGTGGGAACCGGGTGGGGACGGGCGGCGACCTCCCGCAGTCCACCCTGGAGTCCTCTGGGGCACTCACCCCAGCGCCCCGCCTCCTCTGAGGCCGGCGCCTCCCTGGCAACCGGCTCAGGGCCTGGCGACGGCTGCAGAGGGAGACCTGGTCGGATTGGGGGATCTGCGCCCCTCTGCCCGAGTTTGCTCAGCCGGTGTAAACCAGGGCTCCTCTGCCTCCGACTGGGCCTCCTTCACTTGACCCACGTTGACTTCACCTCAGAGGCCTGGGCGAAAGGGTCTTCGACCGCGAGGGAGTGGAAGAGATTTGCATCCAGTGTGGACAGAGGGGGAAACTGAGGCCTGGAGAAGTGAAGGGATCCCCAGCGCGACCGCCTAGCTGGGTCAGACAGAGTTCAGGCCTTTTATGTAGCTCAGGGGCACATTTAAATAAATGATATTCTATATTCACATCACATGGTGTGGCCTTAATTTTGGACACTTCGGGTTTTTATTTACACTTTCTGAGGACATAAGTACATCCAGTTGCATTACCCCAGAGGCTGTCTAGCTTATGAAAAAATTTGAGCTCGGAAACAGTTCTGTCTTTGAGGCGGCAAGATGTAGTGCACAAAAAATACGGATGGCCCGATCGTGGGTTCTCCCTATCATGTAATTAGCCGAGTACACCTCTGCTCCTCCATCTGTGTCACGTGTGCCTGTGTCACAGTGAGGTTTTAAGGATCTAATGGGAATATGGTTGTGACAACATTGTACAGACTATAAAGTATGATATAAATATTAGATTGGAAAGCTGCCTTGCGTGATGGAAAATCCCGGAAAGCATATGAAACAGGTGAGGGATACATCTGGAAGGCCAAAATACTTGCACAGTTACCGAGTAACATACAGAAAAGTCTTTGTCTTCAAATCACCCACAACAAGTACGACATTGGCAAAATGACTCAGATGCAGGCTTTGCATAATCTAACAGTGAACAGTGAGTTCAAACTGCTCTCTGGCAGTGATTTTCAAGCTGAAGTCAGATGCCTTCAGGGGTTTTTGGAGAAAGTGCTTTCTTGGGCAACAAGACCCATTTTGATGGCATTCCAGAAGGGGTTCCTAAGCTAAGGTTGACAAGGTCAATCTCAGAGTTGGGATGCTCTCCTCTAGACCCTCTGACCTTTTCGATGTCTTAATTATAGCTTCAGACAACTATGTGTTCGTTTTGAGCATTTCCATGGTTCTGCACCCAGACACGGTTCCAGGAAAATTTTCCAGCTTAAAAGTCTAGGGAGGGATATATGGTGAGTGTCTGTAGTAATAGCCTGTTTTCTGGTCCAGTTCTTTGGCAGTGAGACCCTTGGGGGATCTTGTGTCCGAGAAATGAACCTCGAAGCTCATTAGGTGTCAGATTTGGTGGGGGGAGCCCAAATGCATTGGAAGTCTCCACTTCATGAAAGTGATTACAGAGAAGGTGGGAGTAGGTGGCCGAGACCACAGCCCTGTCCAGGAGGGTCAGCACAGAGGGTATGACGAAAGTTTTTTTGGGGAAAAGACTGTTGGGGGTGATTAGGTTCCTGGAGAAGACCAACAATTTAAAGCCCACCCACCGCTCAGCAGAGACACAGCTTTCTCTCAAGAATACGGCACGACCCGGGTGGGTGGAGCTGGGCGGAGGGAATGAGAGAAGGCTCAGATGTTGAAATCACCCTAGGGGATAGAAGTTGGAATTACTGAACTAAGCTATTCCAGAACTATCTATTATTCTGAGGCTTCCTAAAACACTATTTACACACATCACCAACTTTAACACTTAAGGAGTATCTTCTCTTGCTTAAAAATGTATTTCTCTCCTGAGGCCGGGGGGATCTCACACAAAAGTAGAAGTTAAGAGTCTGGTAGGGAGATGGTACCCAGTTCTTTTTCTCGGTAGGTTTCTGTCCCACTGCTGTGGGCGCACATGGCAGGAGAGCTAGAGAAACTTTTAAATTAAAAGAGAGGAGGTTCTTATCGGAAAATTCCTCCTTCATTCAGTATTTCTCCCAAATGCGATGTCCAATAGTGTAATGAATACAAGGCCTACTGGTCAAATTTACAAAGGGGGGTGAAAGTGGTATCTGTTAATTTAATCCCCCTGACAATGTCTTTGCCTAACTGAAAGTGACCTTCAAGAGGATGAATCCCCATACTCAGCTCCTTTTCTCAGTAGCACTTGTACCCTTGCATAATTGGTAACAGATTTCGGAAGAAGCCCCAGTTAATCAAGACCCAGATTCTTCCAAAGAAGGCCTGTTTCCTGAGACTCCATTTACCTTGTCTTTGAACATTAATTAATTAGATTCATGACACAGGACAGTTAACACGGAGCATTATTTGAATGGTTTCCTAGCACTGCAAAATATGTCCAAAGCCTGGGACACCTGGGTGGCTCAGTCGGTTAGGCATCTGACTCTGGCTCAGGTCATGATCCCAGGGTCCTAGGATCAAGTCCCACATTGGGTTCCCTGCTCATTGGGGAACCTGCTACTCCCTCTGCCTGCTGTTCCCCCTGCCTGTGCACTCTCTCTCTCCTACAAATAGATAAATAAAATCTTAAAAAAATATTTTTTTTCAAGGGCCAAAGGTTAAGAAGCAAAGGAAAGAGATAGCTTTGCATAGCTCAGGGTCCCTGATCAGCCAGCTCAGGGGTTGAGGATGTCCTGACCATGGGGGTGGGCTGTCCCAGAGAGGGGCTCTGGGGACATGGAGTGGCAGCGGGGATGTGGTCACAATTCAACGATGCCGCTTGTGAATGGCATGTGTTCACAAAAGGCCTTTTAAAGATGAGGGTTGTGTAGGAGTGAAGAAACCCACAGGGCCTGTGATAATGAAAGCTTTTAGCGTATGTCAAAGACTTAGCCGTTAGAGCGGAGGGGGAGATGGACCCAGGAGGAATAGGAGTTAGAGAGACAGAACGGATAGTCCTCCTTTCCTTATACCAAGAATGTATTCATCCAGGGAAACAAATCTTTATTTTTAGACAGATGACTAGCTTAAAATTTTCTCATTTTCCCCACTTTATGACCTAGTTAGAAAGACGGAAACATAAAGGGGTTGGGGAAAAGATGATTGGAGCCTTACTGCTAACAAGAAGTAACCATCAGAGTGAGAGCTCTTTATCAGTGATTCTTAAAGACTGCTGGTAATTTTGATGTTAAAGTTGCAAATAAATGGCTGGTGTGCAGTTACAGCTCCTAAAAACAACTTAGGTTAGAGGTTTTTATAAGACTTTTTGTAAAAGGGAAGTAAAATTTAAGATTTAGCTGAGATGTCCTTCGTCTCTAAATAGGCACAGCAAGTGGTATGTTAAATAAAAATCTCTATGCAAATTAAGATCGTTTTTATTTAAATTACTTATACTTCTAATTTTAATAAAGAGTTTATTTGCTGGGGAAGCTTCCTAGAGCATCAACTAATGGCAGGACCTCCCCTCCCCCTTGGTCTTTTTTTTTCTGGTGACCTTGTAAACCACAAACCACACACATGATACCTGGGCAGAGCTAATGGAACCTGGGGTGTGTACCTTGG